TGGCTGCAAACATAGCTCGAATAGCCATTTCCTCTTCATCTGGTCTTCAGTTGGTGAGAAGATGATCTCTCACGAAGGTAATTCGCAAGAAATGCAGCTGCATATCTGACGACATGGCTCTGAAGCACTTCGGATGGACTAAGCTGATGCAAGATGACATACGTGTGAAAGGCCGGAAACAGGCAGGCAAGATCAATCAACAGGCCAACGAAAATCGATTGGGTGTCCCATTATTACATACGGGAAGCTTACTGTTCCGCAACGGCTGCATGAGGGATGCCATGCCATGCACGGAAGACCGACTGGGGAATAGCCGTTGGTAGCCTCCCGCAGCAGGGACCGCACCACGTCAGATGGGAGCGTCCCCATAACGGAAACAACAAGATGATAGGCTATAGTCATAGCTTTGGTCACAATTTCCGAGTAGAGTTTAAGTTGCGGGAGACCACCATACTTCAGCATCATCACGTGGAACGGACGGCTCGTCAATTTCAAGATGGGACATCCGTCCCAGAACCATTAGCCGAACACAGTGTCTTGGACATATTTCTCGCCACCAAGCCATCGCGTTCCTGGATCATCCGATTATCTGGCAAGAGTGTGGAACAAAGTTACACAGGTAGCGCCAGGCGAGCGTCGTTTGGCTGTCCAGCTACCTAGAGACTCACTCAACCGTACGACGCAACTACCCACCAGTCAAGACGCTTTGGCATACCCAACCATTGCCGATGTATCCCTCAATCTTGGGTTCTTATCTTATACCCAAACTTTTTCGCAAGCAACGTCTTGCCTGAGGATCTTGTGCGAGTGAGAGGGGCTTGGTTAGAACTGAACAAACTAAATTCATGAACACAACGCTAGGACTCTTGCACATGAGCAGTAGATTTATCATGATGAACTAGTTATACCCAGATTTCTATCCTGGACTGGTCTTTGAATTATTTTAGTGTGCAATCCAAATAACACTAGCGAGTTGAGGACCGATAACTCTTCGTCTAGGGAGCCAAAACTCTGGCCCAGCCACGAGCAGAGAGCCGTGCCATGTGTAACCACCACACAAGCGGGATCCTACAGTTTTACCGAGGTTTCTTCGTTTGGATTATCAAGCGGCGGCTAGAGGATTTCCTTTTATGGACAGAGCAAACAAAGTTGTTGACAACGGCCTCTGGTTTGCTTCGTATCAACTCACCCAACGCACCATGTCACGCAGACAGGACTCACACAAAGGCGTCTTTGGACTTCTTCAGCTCTTTCCTTTCGTCCATATGAGACTCCCACTCTCAAAGCTTCTTCTTACCAGTAACACCAATCAGTCGGTCATAGACAACCATGTTTAACATGAGAGCAATGCCCTGGGTACCACAGCACCCGTCATAGCCACTACTCCTACAACCGTGTCACTGTCAGAAAAGATCTCATGTACTTCGCAGTTGCAAAAGGTTTTGGTCTATTCTTCGGTGCAGATGTTTGAGGTTGGCGACGTTGTTGAGTGGCCTATTGTGGCCTCTTCGCTTGTAGTCGTGTAACGTTTGAGAACCATGTCTCAAATATTAATTCGGTCCTTCGCCTTCTCCGGCAAGATAGTTACCAATTAGTATGAATGTTTCAAGAGTATTATGTTCCAAGTCAGGTGTGTTGTCACTTCGCCTCCAGATTCTCTGCGGATCGACTCGATATGAAAAGCTCCAAACTTTTCCAATCGGATACAGCTGAAGATCTTTGAATCAGTGCCTACTACCTCGCCAATAGATTACATCAAATCCGCCTGGCTACGGGAGTCTCTTCTTTCCAGGGAACTTACCAAAATCGAAGGGCTCCTACTTTGTCAAGCCCCAAGGCCGCGCCTTCGCTCGAGGAAACTCTCCACGCCTTTAGCTGCACTATCACTTATCTTCACTGCCAATCTTGATTCTTTAACTTCGAAATCGGGTCCCGATATATCTTCAAGCTCTCAAGCGCTTCCAAGAAATTGCATCGAAACATTTGGAGTGTGGGAGAAGACCGATAGCAAAGATGGACAACGAATATCGAATGTCTCTCTCCTATCCAAACCCATCCCTGGGCCAAATAGCAGTGACGGAGAATGACTTGGAAGAGAATGCCCCAATGGCAACGGAGGTCATCGGACTACACAAACATTCAATCACTGGGCCTCGACGAGTAGTTCTTGTCATCTCGTAAGAAAGTTGTTGCGCTGGCAGACGGAACTTGCTAATTGACATATTCAGATTGTTGGCCGGGCTGCTCTTTTCGAGCCTTGACACCTCCATCGTCTCGACTTCGCTCGTCACCATCTCGCACGACCTTGACGACTTCACAAACGCGCCTTGGATAGTTCTAGCGTACCTCCTCACATACATGGGTGAGTCTCTTGCAAGATCGTGAACCAAGAGAACATCCTTTGACAGGATGCAACAGGATTCGCTGTCTGTGTGTCCAAACTGAGTGACATTTATGGACGGCGCAACATACTCGTGGTATCATGGGTCATTTTCGTTGGTTTCTCACAGGGCTGTGGATCAGCAACTAGTATGACAGCTTTGTATGCCGCCTGCTCTGTACTCTGCTCTCAAGCTGACCCCTTTTAGGATTGTATGCCGCGCTTTCCAAGGAGTGGGCGCATCTGGTCTGTACAGCTTAACACAGATCGGCCTAGTAGAGGTTGGTCCTTCTCACAGTCCCAGTCTGATAGGGGCTATGATTGGTGTTACCCTTGCCGTCGCCTTTGTACTGGGCCCCATCGTCGGCGGTGCAGTTTCTCAGCTTTCAGACTGGAGGTGGTTGTTCAACATGAAGTAAGTATTCTGGTACATACTGGAAGAAATACTGACGACGTCAGCATCCCTTTCGGCTTGGTTGCGATCCTCACAATTACAAATCTCTGGCCGCACGAAGAAGTGGCACACTTCTTCTCATGGAAGGCTTTCACCAGCATCGATTTCCTCGGAAGTGCAACCCTTCTTACCAGTTCGGGCTTTCTGGTGTTCGCTGTTCAGCAAGCTGGCTCAGATACGTTCGCTTGGGGGAGCCCAGAGATCATCTCTGCTTTAGTCATTTCAGGCGTAAGCTGGCTCGTGTTCGTGTGGTGGGAGGTGCACTTGGAGACAAGGCCTTTGCGCAGCATCGAGCCAATCTTCCCGATCCGATTGATGCTTCGAAGAGTATACTCTGCCGGACTACTGTAAGTTGGAAAACAAAGGTTCGCCAGTGATCCCAGCTGACACCAATTAGGGTTACTTTATTCACCGGGTTTCCTTACATCTCACTTTCTATCGTCATCCCGGAAAGATTTCAGATTGTCAGCCGTGAAGAAGTCCTAACAGCAGGTTTGCATATCCTCCCTATGCTTAGCGCTTGTGCCGTTGGGTCGTTTCTCGGGGGAGCCATTTCGAGCCGGAGAAACAACACGTCCCTGACTCTTCTGGGGGCATCGTGTCTACAGCTCCTTGGAGTCGGTCTAATGTCAATGCTGACTGGGCCAGACTCACATAGTAAAGCCCAGTATGCCTTCCAAGCAATCTTCGGGCTTGGCGTCGGTCTCTCTTTTTCTGCCGCAACTATCATGACCAGTATACTCGCCGCTGAACGGAGTGAGCTCGCCTCTGCACAAGGTGCTGTAGCACAGGCTCGTGTCTTGGGAGGTTGCATTGGTCTTGCGGTTTGCACTGTCATTTTCAACTCCCACGTCAATGAATATCTCCAGGACCATTTGACATCTGCTCAACTCGACAGTCTCCACCGATCACCGCTAACAAGTCTACAACTACCGGGACATCTACGAGACTTAGTTAGAGATGTTTATGCTGGTGCATTTGCAGAAGAAATCAAGGTCATGATGCTTGTGTGTGCCGTCATGGTAGCCTTGTCTCTTTTCTCGCTGGAAAGAAACCCAGCGCCCCTGGAAAGGTTGACGGCTTTCCCCAAGGATCAGTTTTCTTCTAGAAGAGGCAGTGAATCTGCGACAGAGATGACGGATATATCCAGTATACGCCGCTCTGTTTGAGACTGATTCATGTCATTCTTTAACTGTATTGGGCACCACCCTATTCTATCCCAAACAGATCGATCCTGGTGCGAACAAGTTGGTTTTGGTTTTGGGTGGCATACTCGGCGTTAGCTTACAGGCCTGTGGGTTTTCTCGTATATAGTTGTTTAAATATTCTGATTATCGCGGCGGACTGTAGCATATGTAAGGGGCCCTTTTAGCAAAGGTCTTCAGATGGTGATGTTCTTTGAATATGATAGCAACGAAAGATTTCAATGACTCGTTAGCTGATTATTAATTTTGAGCTCAGTCACTCTACTACAACGAGAAGATAAAGTCCTGTTGCTTAGTTTGCCATTGAAAGGACTACGAAATGGGTGGTTCCCGCACCTGAAGACGAAGGCATCACAAGACAAGTCTCAGTTACTCATGATGATTCTTAAGCAAATAGCTCACTTGTACTACTCTGGTGCCCGACCTTGCATAGAACACAACGCTGAATCAACTGATTGTAAAGGCGCCGACTGTAGTTACTACTGTACTACAAACTTGGCAGTCGGTCATGCACGAAAGTCCGCAAGCGGTGTTTCTTTGAGACCTCGTGATAACGCAAGAGCCGTCTTTGAGACGGTTTGGTGCCGCAAATGTTGTATGTTTCGAGAGTCAAGACAAATGGGGCGTTAGAAAGTTCCCAAGCTACTGATCTCGAGTTTTATCTTTTATGGCTTCATCCCTCCCAGTCCTAAAAGCCTTTACAGAGAATTGTTCATCGCAACGAGATCCTATGGTAATTATTTTTCTTGCATTTTCCTCTGAAGCACTCAAAAGCAACGCCTTGATGCCTTTGAAATGAATAAAATTGCCAATTATACTAGTGGTCTAGGCTTTGTTCTATGCTTTTCATATCATCACACTCACAGTTAAATTCACAGATGAATATTCATTTTGCAAAACTCTTCGAGGCATCGATGTATGAAGGTAAATTAGCTGTTCGATTTATTCCGTGATTCCCTATTCAGGAACTGTGATCGGCACCACCGACAGCCTGGGGTTTGAAGTAGACGGTCATGACCCCCTGAGGGTTAAGCGAGCCCTTGACAAAGTCCTTGAGCGCTTGGTGAGCCTGGCAACCCTCGTCATAATACTTCATGTCCTCCATGCTAGCGAACTCGGTCTTGGAAACAAATGTATATCCCTGAGACCGAGCATCCTCATCGGCGGCACCAACAACCATGGAGAGGATATAGGGCTTGCCGTCCTTGAATAGACAGATGATCAGGCATGCACAAATAGAGATACGACTGGAAGCGACTCACCTTTTGCTGAGAGGCATTGAGTTTGTGGTACTGGTCCAGAAGCTTGGCCTGCTCGTCCTTGCTAGGCAGCTTGAACATGGTGATTCGGTGCACGCGGTTGGCCATCTTGACGGTAGGGATCTGAGTAAAAGGTCTGGATATGGCTTTGATATGTTGTGAGACTCGTGCGGGGTTTGGAGGGATACGGCTGGGAGAAAGGGTGAGAGCTCGACAGGCAAACCTCGAGTTCATATATGATCTTGTGATAGCTCGGAGAACCGCAGTGAAGGCAGTGTCAAGGTAAGCAATGCCCGAATTGGATAGTTGAGTAGTATTTAACGAAGACAATGCGCGAGGCGGTTTCATGCGGGCCAAACGCGGGGGCGGCTCAGGAGCGTATCCCCGCCCACATAGACGATGGACCCCATGTTGGGGGAAAGAAAACTCAGGACTTTGACCCTCAGCGATAAAAATACTTTAGTAAATATACCCTAAGCTTAGGGGACTCTTTGCTAAGTTTATTTTGACATCCTCTATCAAGGTCCGGTGTTTTCTTGGCCCCTGAGGACCCCATGTTGGAGGTTGCTTTCTAATAGATACCAACCAATCATCTTTCATTATTTCTTACGAGCAAGTACATGGGATCATGGAGTTTCGTTTCCGCACCTGAGCCCAAGCCCGAGCCATTCCGTTATATATGCCGCAAAAACGGAACTCACTAATCCTTCTAATACTCTGCTTGGACACGATGTGCTTCTTAAGCAGGCAGAGAATTGCTCGAGCTCCCCTTCCTCCAAGGCTCGCTCATTCTTGGTCTAGGGTTGATATCTAGTACTTGGCGATATCTCCGAGCTTTGAACTTCACTCCAGAACCTACCCCGCCCCCACGAGCCGGGCTGTCAAGTGAATCTCCAACTCCAGCCATGAGAAAGGGCACATAGGGCCGAAACAGCCGTGAGGCGATATTGGCGGGACAATTATTTTCCATCTGTGTCGTCCAATGGAGCTGAAACCTCGGTGCACGGTAGATCAGTCGGCTCAGGGATTACCCCAGATTCACCCAGCTCTGAGTGGTCAGCAATTTAACCTTATCGCTGTAATGAACATGACATGGACGAAAGGAGTACCGATTTCGTCGCCTTTATCCTTCTATTCCAGGCACAGAACTGTTCTAGATCCTGCGCCATGCATAGTGCACGAATGCCAATCAGGCTATATACTGCGTGCGTCTCCATGGGGTGTCTAGTAAGCGAAAATGTACTTCATTCTAACAACACCAACCTCTTTTAGCAATGATGAGGGTGTTTGACTTTGGCTTTGGTCAAGAGAGCAAAAATCTAATTGACAATTCGCTAGACTTGTGGGCTTGGCAGTCAATCTCACTGTTGCTAGCATTGACTGAAATGTGTGTGCTGTCATGGTTGGATACCGTACAGATAGAGGACGATTACCTACTGCTATTGCTTCCTTTTCTTTGTCCTTTCGTAATAACAGAGCCAGATTCAACCATGGTAACCAAGTTGTTGATTACGCACTCAATCAGCCCTATACTGCATTTCTGACCTTCCATCTCGATGAATCACCGTCACCATAGATCTCTTCATCTAATCCTAGACCTTTGCCGTTTTATGTTCCCTTTTTGCTTTCCTGCCAACTCCTTCGCTAACTTGCTATATATGAAAACAATAAAAACCACTTTTGTTGTAAATAACGCAATGCGCACATAATATCCTTCTTGACAAAAGGCACTGTCTATAACGTTTTCGTTACCACGTACCCCTCCAATCCGCCTTGGAGATCACCGAGTTGTCGACACAAGCTTTCAACAAGCGGAGGCATTGCCTCGTTTGCTGCAGTGTAGTTTTGTCTAAAGATGAGCCTCACCAGCGACAAAACTGCCACATAGTTCGACACAGGCTCTAACTGAAGACGCAACCCTTCTGGAGACGAAAGTGACGGGTTACCCTGACCGAGCTCCAGGAACATTGTCGTCTCCCTCGTCTCTGGTTCATTAAGTGATAAAACTTCTTGTCCCACCCCTTGATCGCCGTTCGCTATTCTCTGCGAAAGCAGCCCATACGCCCACAGCGTCAGACTAGCAAGGTAAACAACCATAGCGTTGAATCCTCGCAGTGTTGTTGGTGTACACTCTTGTGCATGTCGGAGGACCTGTCCAGCATGCCAGGCAGCATACCGGGACTCTGGTCCAGGGAGCCAAGTGCTCTCTAATAACTGCATTGCTCTGCGAGATTCCTCGTCGCCCTTCCTGCCCGCCAGACGCTGTATGTCGTCCAACGAGACATGTATGATCATCATGAAAAAGTCTGAAAGAAGCGATAGCTCAGGTTTTGGGGTCTGTGCAGATTTGAGCTGGGTTGACAGCTTACGAAGGCCCTCATAGAGCTCCTGGTAAAGGGAGCGGGCCCATTCAGGGACATCAGATCCCGGCCGATCTGGAGCTGCGTGATGACATTGAGCGATGGCGTTCCGGTACGTCCAGATTTGTCCCCACAGCCCATGCAGAGCAGTTTTGCAGCAAGACTCTGTGTCCACCCACGTGTTCTGTTCAGTCATGACAAATTGACAGTCTCTCACATCAGAAAGGCGAGGGAAACCGGTAGGGGGGAAAGCCCCCTTGACCAAGTTCAAGTCCCACCATACCTGTGAATTACTAGCTTTCCAGAGATCAGGAGCTGCCGGAAGTGCAAAGTCGAGCTGGCTGTATGCTAACGTGGGTCCTTTCCATGACACGATCGATGTTTGCATATCGTGGAGAAATGCACGTATGGCCAACCTGTAAGCTGGTCAGTATGCTAGCGACTTCGGCATGCTAATATAAGTAACCTTTTGTAAGATTCAATTGTCGCGAATGTTTTCCATTTCGACTCAAGTGTCTCAGGAGAGTCGCCTGCGTTGGGTGTATGCGTAGTCAGGTCTGACGTGAAGCTCAACTTCCCTGCTTTTCGAAGCAGCTATTCGGAATTAGCCTGCTAGCCAGACTCATAATCACAATAGACTTACGGTCAAAAGCTGAGGCGCAAAACTTTCTGCCACCTCGGCTTGACGATTGAAGCCACTCCATTGACCGGTTTCAAGGTGGAGGACAGACGCTTGAAGAAGTGTGATATCTCGCACGGCCAGGCATGAAGATTCAAGCTGTTTGGCAGTCAGCATGTGGTTTACCTTTTGCCAATATCTTTGGCTCACCACCGTTAGACCATGGCCCATACTTACTCGTTTCCCAATGACACTTGCCGTGACTTCGTTAAGAGCCAGGCCGAATTGCCATATAACCGGAGTAGATATACATAAAGCCCCACTAGAGACAACGGCAGAGAAAAGCTCTTGGCTAATTGCCGAGGGATCGAATGACGATCTGTGAATAAAAGCCTCACTCTTGGGGTCTTCACTTTTGAAGTACGTCTCGATCATGTAGCCCAATAACTCAGCGGATGGAAATGTTGGTACTCTATGTGGTGTCGGATTGTTAGCCAGAACCATGGCGAACATGCTGTCGCGTAAGTAGGATGAAACGATATTGGAGCGAGACACTGAGCTCCCTGCCTGACCATTGGCCTCGGGCTCATACAGCCATACTGAATGCTGAAGGGGTACATCCACCGAGGCTATATCTTTTCGGCCTTGGCGTGATGTGCGTTTCCCTACATTGCCAGACTGAGGAGTTCGTCCAGTCACACCTAAGTCTGGAATTTTGTACAAGCCAAAATCTACATCCCAAGAAAAATCAATCTCCGGAAAGACGCTTTGCGTCGCGGCGAAAAATAAAGATTCCACAGGTGATTCCTCAAGTCTGGGCGCGCCGAGAAAGGAGGTGACGCTGTAATCGACGGCAGCATCAACGGCGTGACCCTGGTGAGCAATGGCCGATTGGGGCAAAGCATAGGTAGCTTCACCAGCCGTAAAGACCTGGCTGTCGTTGCCTATAGTTGACGCAACCATTGAACTGTCCGAAGGTGACATACCAGTCTGCGACTCAGACGTGCGGTATTGGTTCCCGCGTCTCACTGGCATCTGACATGTCAGACTCTTACTCCGGCAGCGGCTGCAAGGTTTCTGATCTTCGCATTTTGCCTTGGAAGCAGCACAATTGAGACATGCCTCGGCGGCACGGTCGCTTCTTCTGATGAACGGGCGGTCTTTTGCGGCCCCATCTCGATCGTGAGTGGTCTCATGCCGTGTCAAGAGGTCGGCGCGATTGAAACGCTTGGGACATCGGGTGCATTGGTACGGCCGGGCATTTTCGTGCGACCTGAGATGTCTGGTCAGGTGGTCGGCTCGCTCATATACGCGACGGCAGATATGGCAGACGTGAGACGGCGATGAGGCGGACGCATCAGAAAGTTTTCTCTTAGCAGGCAACCTAGATGCAATTCGCTGGGGCGTTTCCCCTTGGTGTTGTTGCAGTGCGGGATCTAGCTGCTGCTGAAAGATTTGATGCTTCGAGGGAGACGTGGGAGGCAGTGAATGCTGCAACTCATGCTGTTCCTGCTGCAAGGGTGGCTGGGCCCGTTGATTCGAATCGGCTACGGACGCAGGCGCTGCGAGGGAGAACAGGGACGAAAGGAGCATGTCTGAGCCGGCGGCATCGCAAAGAATGTCGATGCCATTCTGCTCCGTGGCCGCCATCGGATTCGAAGCCGTCGCCTCAGACAAAAATAGGCCAAGCCGGACTGTGCAGTTCTGGCCGCGGGATGATCGGCTGACCGGACGTGGACTGAGAGGAGTAACCAGTCGCTTGAGCCAAGGCAGCAGGGATCGCTGACTGACTGTTGAGGGGATCGCGAGACAATCCAATGCCGTTGTAGTTCGGAAGAGAGGGGGCGGGGGGCGGGAGATGGGCGGCAAGCGTTAATGGATCGTGGTGGGGTTCGCGGCTGTCCAGCGAGTGATGGCAATTCAATTTCACCATCAGGAGCTGACCACGTCGAGCCCCACTTTCCGGAGCCGGGCCAATTCAACGGCCGGCCATAACGGGCGGAACCAATATGGCATCTAGTGGTCGGAACCGGCGCCGAGTCCGCAGTGTCTTAAACCACGTATTGATTACTCTGTTACGGTGAGCAAGAATTGTCGCACAGCTAAAACTCAGAATATCATAACACTGAGCTTTACACCTGGGATGAATACATTCCTCCATGTTAGTTCGATGAACATGAGGTGGTTGATCAGGGGATTTCTTAGCTACCCCTTGCGTCGCCCTCAAACTTTGACAGCTGAAGTGACTCCCTTCGTTAACCTGGGAGTAGCGCTGGCATCTCGCTACTAAAATAAGCCCGTGCCAACGGCCCGGGTAAGTCAGTACGTACTGTACTTGTCAAAGGTTATGTCTCAGCATCCCTCGTTGCGTCACCCAAGCCACTTGATGAAGATTTCACTCCTCTCAGCGCAAGGCAAAAAGTCCAGAATCCTGGTATGTCTCAGTGCAATTCTCACCTCAATGCCAAGACTAGATTTGGCTGAGATTGGTTAGTGACCCAGACGATCACACAATAGCGATATGTATTTTCCGTTGTCTTGTAATTGCGTTTGGGTCACTGTTAGCCAGCCGTCGACAGGGATGCCAAAGTGAGGAGTCACATATCCCATCTTTGGTTTTATCTTTGACTTCAGACAGAAAGTTAGAATAGTATTAAGATATACTGATTACAAAAATTGACGATTGATTACGTCTAGCTCTTACTCCAGTGCCGTGTCAAATCCTTCACATACCCAGGGATTTGCTGGGCTATGCAACTAATCCTGGACCCCAGTAACGCCATCGGTAAATGATTCTCGATTATCTGATGCACCTCTTGTGGCTGCCCTCTGAGTTCAGCGAAGTGACAAGGTGGCTGATCCGAGTCACTCCCGACATCCTGGTTGGGCTGTACCAGCCTATGGCAATGCTTTGGTTTCGACCCATGAGTTTTTTCCCTTTTATCATATATCAACTTTAAGCATGACTCGGAGATTGCCGTGATTCATGATCAACCAACACGCATGAGCACGGTTTGAAGGTGCCCGTTGAGTCAGTGGGGAGTGGCAGAAAATCGCTGTCAAGACCCAAATCATACCCCTGGGCCCTGACATTCTAAGACATGCTCGAGGACGACGTAACGAGTGCCGCTGTGCCAATCAGAGGTCGTGGAGCTTTCCACTTCACGACGTGAGCTGACCGAAGTGCTGCAACAAGTGTCACTCTTGACCTGTCACAGCTCCCTCTAGTCGGAATAAACTTTCTTGCCCATCCATGCTAACGAAAAAGGGCATTTGAGGATATCTCATGTCATGTTCAGCTGACATTTGAGATCCACAGTCCTGTGGTTCGCAGCGGCGAGAAGTGCTCAACAACATCTTGGCATTGTGCTTTGAGGCAAGCTTTGAACCAGGGTAGAAGCAGCCAAAACTGTGTTAATTAGTTCCATGTTCATTTGAGGTTCTCGTAAACTCACCTCGGCCCTGGGGTAGATCTAGTCGACACAAGGAGTACCGCAGTATCCGCAGCAGCGGCCAGGAATTACCCAAACTTCTTTGCCAGCTAAGGCACACGTAGGACATCGAGTGCCAGGAACTTTCTGAGCTCTGAAGGCACAGGACAAGACCTGAGGCCCAGCAGGGTTGAGTGTTTCGGTTACAGCCTGACATTCTAGTTTCGGCTGCAATAAGGAGGATGTGTCTTGGTATTGGTCTCCACGGTACAGCATGGTGGACGAGGGGATGGGTAGAATATCTTGATGGAGGGCCATGATGTAGGTCGTCTCTTGGGTTGACAGCTTGGTGCAAGAGAAGAATGACTCTGTGGGCAGGCAATATATGGTAGAAATTAAAGTCACGAGCAATGTATTATAAAGCTTGGAAAGGTACGAGCTGTAGAAGTTGTGGGGGTCGCAAGGGATTTATGGTTTTCGAGGACTAGTAATAGTGTGTAAATGGACTGAGGAGGCTCAGGAAGGGTAAAATCAAGGGGTCGAAGAACAACGTATGGGTATTGCTCAAAGTCAAGACAGGTACGCAATACCCTGACACAAGGATGATACTCCCGTTCACTCGATGATCAGTAGCGTGCACAACCTACCGTAGTCTCGGTGGGCATGCTGGGGCCAAGCGGTGGTAGCATCAGACCTGTCATATCGACTACCTGCGAGTCTTCAAGCTGTCATTGCTTGCCAGGGAGGTGCGTGGCGCCGCCCTTGAGCAGGACTGTGGGCCATATCGATGGAGGCGGGGTCTTCTTTGTTTGGATCTTTTCTTTTGGTCTGTTCCTGAACCTCCAAGTTGCTGCTTGTTACAAGGGTCAAATATGTCGTCCTGCATTCAGTCAGTAACGAAAGAAGACACTGTAGAACAAACAAGTCAAATTCGGCGTTACTTTTCTGCTAATTCTGTATTACAGTATCTGTTCTCGCTCACAACCTTTCGTAAAAGTGATTTTGCGACCGGCTGAAAACCGAATTGGTGAACTGGCAATGTGAGAGAAGTGCTCTTTTTTTTTTTTTTAGCGGCAAGGAGATATAGACCGGGCCGGCGGTTGAGCATTTAATTGGCCAGGATATGGGGTGTGATGGACTGGCGTTAACAGAGAAAAGCAAAGTTGTGACTGCTCGTCTTCAAGAGGGTCACGATGACAAGGAGCCCACGGTGCTGACTTGCTAACCCGAATTATGATCAAGACCAGGAGATTTGCTCGAGCCGCTTGGCTTGGCTCCCATGTAGAGACACCCTGGTGCATACTTGGATGGCCTGTGAAGCTGGGCCGAGTGGACGAACAACATGACAAGATTCGCACAGAGTCTGTGCGCCATGCAAAGGTGGTGAATCTGAAGATCCCATGGGAAATTCCCCTAAGGAGGCGATCTAAGCCCCCAGTCGCGCGCACCCACCATCAATCCAACACCACGGACCACGGACCAACCCCAGGGCTTGGCGGGCACCAGGGCTCTGGAATGACAGACCCTCGTCACTCTGCATTTTGTAAGTTCAAGCTCGAAGCAGCCGCACCCATCCATCAGATGCCGCGCCAGGGCCGGCTCAATGCCCCCCTCCCTTTGAAAGCTGGAACGATCGCCAGTGCGTCAAGCTATCTCACCGACCAGCCAGCTGGAGCTGGCGTAAAATTGTAGAGGGATAGTAGTGGTCACGTCCACAGTTCCACTCGGATTCTTTCAAGGTCTGAATTGCTTTGTGCTCCACTTGCCTCTTCCTGTGAGGGAATCTTTTTGCTTGATGGATCCCGAGCCGAAAATCATCGGGGTTCATAGGCACGCTTGGTGCTAGAGAAAGCTTTCGAAAGTTTGCACAGAACTATGTAGGTATTGCTTGTTACCTCAAGTGTCAGGTCGAGGAGCGTCTTGGCAAGGAGGTTTTCGTCCTCAGCTATACGAGTTGCTCATTCCCATGCGAGCCATATGAATCTCACGTCATAGTCTCGACTCGTGCACGCTCGTAGACAACCCAGCCTAATGGAGGGCGGACCATTAGTTGGGGTCCTGACAGACCGGCCTGAGATGGAGTGCAGAGTAACGGGGGCAGTGGGGTCGCGAACCTGCGGATAATCCAGGTCCAGGTCAGGTCCCTTAATTAGTCTCAGGCTCAGTCTTCCAAGAAGCAACGGAACCCAAGCAGGATTCGACGCTTCAGGATACCTTACCAATCAGTCATCCTTGATGCTTGTCGGGGAGGTCGTTGTCGAAGTGAGTGGTTTCTGCCTCTCGTGAAGACGAGATGGATGGGAAGGCTGGTGTTGCGATTGGTTAACTGCCTACCAGGTTTGGTGATGCCCTGCCTTGTCCTGCATTGCATACTGTCAGGCTGGATCTGATCGGCATCTGACCCGCCAAGTGCCGCTGTTGGTCTACCTGCTGTCTACATACTAGCCAGCCAGGTAGATCTGGTTACAGTGCAGATGGAAGCTGCTTATCTCGGCTGTATTCGGTAGGTGCCTCATCATACCTCATTTGGAGCTGAAGATAGTTGTGTAGATTCGGCGGGAGTCGTTTCATCGTTTCTGAAAGGTAATTTTGCAGTTTTATTGATCACTAACTATTCGAATAGGACGGCCTTAAACATATCATGGTGCAACAAGCCCGATCATTCGAAAATCTCCCTTTTTGCCCAAGCAAGGCTCACATACTGTACTGGATATAAGTGAGTGCTGTCACAGCGCTAGTCTCATGACTCCCATGAAAACAGCAAAAATGCGAGAAATGTTCCAAGTGAAGAAAACCTTAGCTTCTCTCCACGAGTGGTCTAGGTGGTGTTTGTGCAAAAACTTCCCTGTGGCTTTTGGATCGTGTAGTTCTTGAGAAGCTCTAGAACTCTTCCAGTGACATACCAACATTGCGGTCCTGTCATCGTTGGTGTGAGCGGCCCCCCACTACACACAGCCATTATTTAGGTAGGTAGTAGTTGGGCTAGCCTAAGTTAAGCGAAGCTTCATGTCACGGCTGAAATCCAACGCATTGACTCGAACGATGGCTTTAATCACACATTTTGGGATTTCCACGACTCGTAAATGAGCAAGACTTCTTCGAATGGATGAGGCCAGATTCTTCAACCTAGGTACCGAGGTATTGCTCCAGGAACCTGGGTACCTAGCCGCGAAGTGTTGAGTATGTACAAGGTGCTAAGCATCTTCCTTCCTATAGGTACCTTAGGCGGGTGCTATGGCAGGGGTGTCCTTGAAAACTGCGCAGTCAAAGATACATCTCCCCTGCTTGCTGTAGCCCCTCGTCTTCATAACCCCTCCTCCAATCGACCTCGATTGAGAATCGATCTCATCTCGGCTTCTCTAATCTTGAACTCAAACTCAATTTTAGTATGAGATCTCCCTTCTCCATTCCCTTGCCCTGTGCTGATTTGGCTATTTCCGTTGGTAATGCATATCAAGTACCGATTTTTGCAACAGTGAGCGATATTGCCGTCCACAAATTGAGCTGATGGCACCCTCGAAGCTAACAAAGCCATTCACCAATTTGTGACTTGCGCTCGAGCGATAGTTCTAACGGGGAATTGCTTTTTTCAAACAGACAGTCTCAGCGCTGACGCCATTAACGTTTGCATAGACTATACGGAGTAGAGTAAGAATTTTACCCTACAATGCGCCAGCGGCACACCTAGAATATGGATTTCAACGACCTCGACCAAGATATCCAAGTTCTGCGAGGTGGCTATCAAAACCCATCTCCTTGGCTACGATCGCCGTAGGCCCCTCAGGCAAGCCACGATCGATCAGCTCCCAGGGGGGGTGGGATGGGGGATATGTTGGCTTTCGTTGTGAAAATTCGTCGGTTGCGTTCGTTTCTTCTTTTCAGTGATCGTCTAACATACATTGTCTTTTTCGCTTTGGCCCTGGTTATCTGTTATTTTTGTGAATTCTTCAGTGCCTGGGGTCGCCCTTACCTCTGTACGACTTAGTAACATGAATTATCTCTGATGACATTGACCGAAACGGACCAGACAATGCAGTACTCGAAACAAAATCTACAGGCAGACGCAGCTGCATGCGCCACTTCCGGAGTCGATCGATCTCCATAAGAACTGATTGATATGTACTTGCTCACCTCCTTTGGACCTGGTTCAGAGTCCATGTATAAGATCAGTAATCAACAAGAAAACAGCTCGAGCCATAATTACTTTGAATGCTCAAAACACCAGACTCGGCGTTGTGAGTCGGTTTCAAGCTGGGCGTTTCCCCAAACGACTCACCGCTAGAGACTTTGGCAGATTTAGGAGCTGAGTTCCGACCAAGCTGAAAAGTTCGACGTCTGGCCTTCTACTAGGTAGCCAGGGCTGTTTGCGCGGATAGCGTATAACAGCCGAATCAGGCTTTACTTTTGCTTTATTCACCAATGCATGCATGGTCTTGACTCTTGACGCGTATAGCTAAATTGTATAATACCTCCTTACCTACCCAGCTACCTCATTAGCTTCCAACTTCATGTTGCTTTTTCGTGCTCCACTCCTCGTGTCTACACATCGGTCCTTCGCCAGTCAGTGCGAAAATGACCAGTCCTCAATGGTGGGTTATCGTTTCCGACAGGTGTGCCCAGCCAGCCGCAAACAGGTCATGGCCGGTTCTCCTTAACGAACCCCTTCAGTCGACTACCGCGGCATACTGCAAGTGTTCTAGGTTAACTGGCTGGCACTTGTAGCCATCCACCGTACAACCTCGAGTGGTATAATATTTTAAAATGTAATATATAAAACAAAATGCTTGCTGTAAGCGTTAGTAATACGCCTAGGGGGGCAGGGGTACACATGAAACTGTCCTACACCAAAATCCACCAATTTATCATTTCAGTCTCGTGTTTTCTTCCCTACCTAGACACGGAAGTGGCTTCTACCCTGCGCTTCTGTCCACTCCGTTTAAGGACGCACCTACGGAGTAGACTGATCGTTGACCCACTCCAAGGCAGGGCTTAGGTGCGTCAGCTACCTAAGTTAGATTTAGCCAACATAAGGCATGTAGTATGTATGTAAGTATGTAAACCTAGGTAACCTGGGCATATTCGTCATTTTTGGTCAAGATAACCCAACAACCAAGCCTCGTAAAGACTCCACACCACAGCAGGAAGCCACAGGTAGGCATTATCACGGGACCGTTGAGACTGCAGCCACAAAACATTATCAAAGACTAGCCCCGTAGACTGCCACAGCTGGACCCATAAAGCTCTTCCCTTGCTAAGACAAGCCCGTTGAACCTCGCATGAGATGTAGTGTGTGCTGCTGTATTGTGGAAAGGGAGGGACCTCAGCCACGATATTGAGAGTTCAGGCATTTGATACGATGGAGCGTGGACCAACAAGTTCTCCAATCGAGCCCAAAGGGTTGAATGTGGAACGTGTTGGCTTAGAGCCTCTAATAGCTACGAAGTACGTGCAATACGCACTGACAATTGATCGTGATTGCAAAGAGGAGGACAATGTCCGACATTCTGAAGGATCCGCAACAGTACACGGACAAGGTGATCAATTGCATTTATCTAGCTGCTCAATGACGGGTCAATGACTTTAGTCAACGGTCAACCAACTTGGAATGCGATAGGTCCAGGCTCTATCGTTTGTGGTCGGTCGACTGAGGCTATTTTGTCCGGACATCAACTTCTGTCTGTCGCTGCGAGCAAAGGACACGGCGCATATCCAAGAAGAAACCATGTGTATTCCGAGTCAAGCCTAGTTTGCGATGGACAGATCGGGCCACGGCGCAACGAGATGCATAGAATCTAGAGTGCCGTTATGTTGTTCGAGTATTTAGGCCAGTGACAGGTAGCAAACCTTGTGCGCCAGTTCCATCGTGCATCTCTGCCACCAACAATCACCCTGCAGATTGGTCGCATCTACGGAGTAGCCGCGGCGACTATCGATCTTGTCCCCATGGGCTTGCATATGGCTATCTCTACTGTATGTACCTGTGCTCAAATCGTCTCCAGATGAACTAAACTAGTACCGCTTGTGCCCGATTGGACTTTCCGGCCTCTTCAGCCCTTTCTTCAGGACATTAACTAGATTGGAAGATATGCAAGTTGAATGCATGGCCACACGGTAATATTTGCACAATCTCTCGTTATCATACGCCCAGACTTAACTTACATATGCAGTGAGAGTGCGAGCGCCCAGCTCTCAGAGCTACCGTTATCACCATGGTCAACACTATGGCCTCGAAATTCGTCAATGTGGATAACGTTTAGCACTCACAAGAACTAGCCATCCTTTGCAAAATATAGACGACTATACGAGTCAGGCTTCGTACCGCAGACTAAACAAACTGCATCCCGTCTGATGAACGATTAGTGAGGTCCCTCCTACTGCGCTAAGGATCCTGAAGACAAGAATAGAGGGGCACAAGGTTGGCACCGGCAGCTTGTTGAAGATGAGCAGTATCGCTACTACTTTTACTACTGTATACTGTTGGCAACCGGGCAGGCATATCAGCGCTTCGACACTGGTCAATCAACGACTCGGCCATGCTTATTTCCTTGTAAGGCCAGAGCACCTAGGAAGGCCAGGGCGCTGAACTCACAATATCAGAAAGGTCCCAGAGAGGTTTTGACTTGCACAACAGCGAGCTGTGAAGCTGCTCTTTTCTGGATACCCGGGCGAGCACGTTTCAAAAGAGCAAATGTCAATCAATTCATGGTGTGTGAGCGGGTAGTGTCCTCACAACGTATATACAGTAGTTTACCTGTAATGCATGTTAAGTGCCACTAGGCTGGCACACCAAGCTCCTAACCAGGTGTTGTGCGTTCTTCATGCATGCAATGTCACTCGAGGCTGCAGCGGGTGAGAAAGTGCTCAGACGAGGTCCAAGTTGCCTGCACAGCTCTTTCATACGGGTGAACAAAGACGTTCCTCGGCTGGCAAATAGCCAGACGAGCAGTGTCAATTCGACTCAACACTGGCTACGACAAACGGCAGATGGCTTGAGGGGAAAGAGAAATGACACAAAACATTCATTGTTCCTGGGTATCCCAAAACTCCTGTCTAAATCCAACCAAAAACCCAGCTATACCGTTATCAGTCCAATAAAGCACTACCACAGAAAACAAAATGTGTGCCAGTAACTCAAACCCTCTGCAAGATGCGAGCTCATCCGCGTATACGATCTGATCGTGATTTGACACATTTCCACAAAGGCCGAAAGTGTCTAAGAGACTTGACGGAGCTAAACCTCAGGATGACGAAAATGAGATATGCTGGCAGCCAAAGACCTATGGTCGGTCAGTCAGTGCGTGACGCGGGTTGCACCACAGCAGGGAGTTGCCACAGTACACGAGTAATGTGCTTGGAATCTGATGTAAAGCATCATTCGCAAGGATGGACTATACTATCGATCAAACCAAGGTCTTCTCAATTTTAACCAGCAGCTTCCCCCCTGGTACAACGCGGGGCTTCGAGTCCATGAGTCGGATAAATCGATAGCCGGGTCGCAGACGGTCTAGGCGGATGCAAGCCCAGGCAAGCAGTGGCGAGCTGCCAAGCTTGGTTGAATCATCCTCAACCTTGAACCTAAGGAATTTATCGAATTAGTACGATATAACAAGCTTTGCGTCCCGCCCCGCCCCGCTAGCTGGCGGGCCTTGAGGATGGCGAGGTGAGGTGAGGCGAATGACACGAGTCACCATCACGGTGTACCAGATATGACCATCCCAGCCTCGATAGTGTGAGAAACAGCAAATAGCAACCCGATGACCAAACATGATTTAACCGTATTTGGATCTGTGATCTGCAACTCGCTCAGACCGAACTGGAGGTCTGTGTCCTGGGGCAAAGTGTGTCTTGAAAAGCAGCTGGTCCTTGATACCCAAGGAAGCCGACGCATAATAGCCATTACGATAGGACAGAAAAGAGCTCACCGCCATAGTGTAAGCTCTTTGACCGCAAAAGACTCACTTCAGTGTTTCCACGACACACCTGTGATTGGCAAGACAAAGGAGACGGTCCGAGAGCAGGGGGCGGGAGGGTGGGATACCGATACATGACAGAATTGAAAAAGTTGTCCACTAACCTGATGAAACTGAGCTCTTCGACCACCTTGGGAATGTTCAAGAACTGAAGGGTCGAACCGTGAGGGCCGAAATCGGGGTGGTCCGTCTTACCAACGTCTGTTTTATCTTTGTACTTGTGCTCCTGCATATATGCGTCACGTTCAGCGTCGGTTGGTTTGTCGACATGGAGCTCTGCCTTTATCAACGGTCTAAGGGTGCTGGCTGAGCGGCCGACGTCTGCTGCGTCGCCAGCTTGGATCGGAATGTGTTGTCCAGCAAAAACTATGATCCTCAGATTCATGGTACGACCTGGTGTGGCTTCGCCCTGAGTCTCTGCAGACTTGTTTGAACTTTGATAACCCTCCGGTTTCAGGACCCAACCCTTCTCATCTGCAAACATGCCTTCGTTGAGCATCATGCCTTCATCCAGATACTGCCAATTCATGGCGACCATCTGAACACCGCCACGCCAAAAGAGACTTGGGTCTGGATTTGAGCTATCGAACCTTCGACCTGCAGGGAAAGCGCGCATGAAGTATCCCTTGTTATGGGTAAACATGTCGCGATGCTGCTTCTGGTGAAGTTCTAGGATGCGATTCTCGCTGATAGAAAAAATGTGGGCAGGGATTTTGGCTTCCTTAGTTGCGAGACCCTTGTAGTGCTGGCTGCGTGTGTACACAGCAAGTTTGCCAAGGTTCTCACAGATCCGGACCTTGGAGCTGGTGTTCTTCTCGTGTGAAGGAAACGTAGTGTTAGAACCTGTCAGGGATGGTCCTGTGGACTGCGAGGGATGCTCATCCTCAGACCCTGATGCATCCTCGTCGTGTGCGTAAATAGCAGGTAGATCCATAGTGCTGGGCGGCACCACGATCTTTGCAGGAGCCTTCTTAACCTTTACGAGAATTCTCTTTCGCAGCTCGCCTAGCTTCGGGAGTTGCAATCTCGGGCCAGTATCATCAAATGCTTTATCCACAAGCATCTCACCCCATTCCTCTTTCATGATTCTGACCATGACCTCTTGCTGGTCCTCGTCAGCGTGCACCTCTAGGCTGACTATAATTGGAAGGTCATTGTCGACGAATGCAGACTCGCCAACGGCTCTGCACACCTCTCGAAACCCACACGGCGCAGTCAGAGTCCATCCATGGGTCACAATTGGCTCGTCTTTGGGGAACGACTGTCTTGTGCGTGGTGCAAGAGGTTTCGCAACGTCCAGACGGTCTCCAGATTCTCGTGTCTCGAGCGGAACTTGATTCAAACTCGATCGTGGGGAGGAATTTCGGCTTCCTAGGCTGGTACTGCGGGAGCGATTGGCGGTTTTTTCACCAAGATAGCCTTCAACTTTGTCGATCACCGTGGTAGCGACATTGGGGAACGATTCTCCTGAGAGTCCACGCTTATGGTCAATCTTGGTGGCTCTGCCTCTCGTAGGAATAATTGTATCCCCATTCCACACATCAATCTCGATACAGCGGCATCCTCGAAGAAGAACCTATTGGCAACCAGTGTCAGCTAAGGAATCCTCCAAAGTGCTTGTGGGATTACATCGAATGAACGTACTGTTCTGTATGCTTCAGGGGAGCTTCTGCTCAGTGAAGCCAGTTGATTCCCAACCAGATAAGTGTTGTGACTGCTGCTAATAAAATAATTTGTGAGAGGTTTTGACAGATCTTTTTCCGGCAAGGGCCCGGTGGCCTCCCATGAGAAGTCGGTAACCCAAGTGTATTTGAAATCTCCCAAGGAATAATCCTCCTTAGCAAGTTCGCTTACGGCGCTCTCACTCTCGCCCTGGACAGTTCGTAAGAACTCGGCAAACTTGGCTTTGGATAGTCGCGGTTCTGAACCTCGCAGGTCATGGTATGTGCGGTCGAGGGCCTCATGCATCTCAGTAGTAATATGAATGTCGGGTATATAGGGAATTGGCGCTTGTTGGTCAGAACTCCGGCTGGAGCATTCGTCAACCGGCGGTTGTTTCTGTACTGCAGGCTGTTCCCAACCGTGCATGGGAGCTGGGGATGCGGCGGTGGTGAAGCGAACCATGCCCTTGAGAGCGCCTATGGCTTGGAAGTTGGAGTTGCCAAAGATAGACATGGTACGGGCGCGGCGAGGTTTGTCGTCCTTTGCGCTACGGCGCCGCTGGAGTCTAATGTCAGTGGGTACGATTAAGAGATTTGAGATGCTGATATGGCTCACTATAAGGCCACAGAAGAGCGACATGGTGACGAGCTATAGTCCCCAGGGGCGAATTGGGGTTTGACGCTGGCGATGTCGGCGACAGTTATATGGCAGAAACCATTGGAGCGAAGGCTGCCCCGTTGGTCAACCAAGCATGAGAAAATTGCAAACCCGGGACTCTTTTACTTCGCAGTTGAGAATCGATGCCTTGAATCCAGTCTTGTAAGAAGAGGTCCTTGGATTGAGCGTTGGTATGTAAGATATGTTTGAAAGAAGGAGAAGAAAGGCGACAAAATGGATGGATTGGATGTCAGCACGCTTGTCTGATAGGCGATAAATTAATACGGCGGTCTCCCCGGTTCAGTAGCCAAGCTAACAGCCGAGTCCAGGTCTCGCTAGCGTACTGCAGCACAGCCCTAGGGGGATGGGTCGAGCAGGGGACGGGCTGAAAGAAGAATGGATACCGAGTCCCAGGGCTGGAGAAGATTGGACCATGGAGGCTTGGGGGCGAAGAGGTGATTGGAGAGACCGTAGTTGACTGTTGAGAGGAAGCAGGGCGACCAAGCAGCATCATGGCCACGGCTGTTGCGTCCTCAAAGAATGAGGATGACTGCGCAATGCTCGGATGGAATGGGGGCTGTGCCATGCCATGTTGTGCTGCGCTGCCATGTGTTACTGTGCGCTGTATTGTATCAGATGAGCCAGGCCTGCTATTCTCCAGATTGACAGATGCTTCATGCCAACTGATTGATCTGCCAAAGCAGCACATTAAGAATTTCTATGCTCTGCCAGTAGGCACAAACTGAATCCAATCATTAAATGGGATCCGACGCCCAGACCAAACCCCGTTGAACGGCTCCGGGACGGTGCGGGTGGGGCCGGAATGGGGCGCAGTCGGCCGAAGCATCATTGACTAAGGTAAGCAGTGAGGTCATACCTTGGCCACATTCAATGACAGCGTAATTCAAATCTCAATGTTTCACTTCCTCGAAGACGGTAGCAATTGGAGAAGTAATCCACAAAGACTGGCGGTCTTTCGTGTTATTCTCCAAAACCAAACGTATCATATCCTGCAAAGCTGCAAAGCTGCACCGAGACCAAACGCTCTTGATCAAACTGGTGAGACTTAAGTTCATATACACCTAACAATATTGCATCTTCAGCGTCATGGGCTTCGGCAATGAATACGAGGAGCAAGTTCGAGCGTGGGGTTTCGAGCGGGTTTTCACCTGGAGTGATTCGCCGTAAGTCTTCCTTACTATTACGACTCTCCTAACAGGCGATGATTCTTGCAGCCTCTGCACTTCACATATCCTTTCTAACACATGGTTATAGAAACACTCACTATCCACCACACTCACACGCCGCTCTTACGACTCATCTGATCGTCGAGGGTTCGATAACTCTTTGGTATCCGCAAGAAAAGGACAGCCAGAAGCAGATATATGGGATAGGATCACGTATTGACGTCGATGCAGGAAGGGTTCACGAGGTCCAGGTTGGTGGAAGTGGCTGCACCATGGTGATAGGTGAATGAGGAAAAGAGTGCAAGCTTCGGATTTGCGTCGAGTTCTCAGACTTGATTTCCACCACAAGGTCACTGGGTTCATGGCTTGAGATGGCTATGCATTGTATATAGCAATCTTTAAGACTCAACAAGCATCTTACACTCATTCAAATCACATGCACGTGATGAATTAGCAGGGACAAGTATAGTGTTGATGCGTCATCTGCTGAGAGCTCTGAAAGCATTTCGAGTCTTTGAGCAGCAAAAAGAGTGAGAGGATAGAAACGTGACTACCATGGTTGGACGAACAGGGAATCGAACCCTGGACCACTCCCAGATGAAGGGTTGATGAGCAACGAAGCCATGCTAAGGGAGTATTATACCACTAAACCATTCGCCCGGGATTTTTGAGTGACGGCTTCGAAGGATTGAATATTCGCGCCCGGCAAGGTGGACACTGTAAAGTTCCGTTTGTACTCCGTAGATTGGAGAATGTTTGGCGTCAGTTGAGGAAATCCGGTCCAGGTTGCATACCCTATAGAAAGCCTGTGAATAGGATAGTAAGAGCCAAAGAAAGCACTGCTCCGGGTTCTATCTCTGCATCCTTGAGAAGAAAATCGCTGCGGGAGGCGTCAAGAAGTGAAGAGGTTGGGTATGCATGTGAAGAACAATTGAGAGTTTGCTGACACGAATGCCACATCATGGGGTGTTGGATATGTCTGAAGAGGCGGGCCAATGGTACACCGCATGTGAATGGGTGGATGAGCCCTCATGTCGATCCCGGAGAATTCGATGGTACGAGTTCGCGATTCCCATGTGGGTTTATTCTGCAAACATCATGCACTAGGAGTCCATGACTTGGTTTGATGATGTGAAAATTGCGTCTTGTGTCAACCCTAATCTGTCAGCATACCATTCAGTGTCTGAGAGCCCTGATGTGAGAATGCAGTCGAGGGAGTTAGCTGAGCAACTGATGAAACGGCCAACACGGGTCGAAAGCAAAAAGCCATGATCAGACAAGTTCGCTTGTCATCTTGGATGTGAAATGAATCCATGTCGAATGCCCAGGATGGGGCCCTGTCTATCTCCGCTTGACCTGTCGGCCGATGGATGGATCATGGATCCGATCCTTTAGACTTGACCTTGAGCCGTAGCATTTCCCCACACTCAAGAGTCTCATTTCGTATAACATCATCCGGAGTATATTGCTGTATTGAAGATTCGAAGTCAAGAGGTCGGGCGTCGGGCGTCGTGCGGAACAGGTTGGGAATGAGGCTAGCTCTTGTTTAATTAGACAGCCACTATTAAAAAGGCGAAACCAGGCAATTCTGTTAACTAGGCCTAAGTTTACCTTCGATGACGGTCAGTCTTATCTGCAGAAGGCTTATTATAGCAAGGTGTCCAAAGTCGTTGAATATCTAGTAAACCTCACCTTACGCGCCAATTTGTGAGGGGTTGGAAAAAGGCCTCGTCATGCAATGCACGTTAGGATTTCTAAACTCTCGGCGACATATGTCGGCCATGAAAGTCTGTTTGTCTTTATTCATGTTTATGTTGACATAAGTGCCAGAAAACAGGCAGTATAAGTTGACTAGCGCGCTCAACAAGAGGGGAGGCTCAAAGACTATTTGGCTTATGCGTGAGTAATTGGCTGCAAGGCGTAGTGGATATGGCGAGCGCGTGTGTGGTTGTACGCGTGGATAAACAACAGAGTTTGTTGGTGACATTAACCGTGACCAAGTTTTGAACTTGAACTTAACAAGTATCAGAATGCCTGGTTTTGAGTGATATAATACTGCCATTGTATGAATAGAATGCCTGGGTACCTATAGTAAGCGGACGGTGTCGGTCTGACTTTGGTCTAGTCGGTTTATATGACTTACCTTGCGGAGTTGGAGCTTTCGCTCTGTCCAAAGTAGTACCAGAGTTGGCTGCTAACCTTTTAGGTTACCTAAGCTAGCCTGAGGTAGATACATACCTAAGTATCTATGGGTATCGTACGTTGAGTGATGGATCCCATTTGAAACGCTCCGGTAGAGGTGGTAGGTGCGTTGAGTTATGTTGTGTTATGCGGGCTGCTTTCGGTCTTGGTGGAGCATTGCTATTCAACATGATGAGATGACATGACGGCATGGGGAAATCATGATGCAGCCATATCGTATCGCATCGTATCGTGTTGGGTGTAAGTCATGGTGCGCGTCGTTCTCCATTCTACAACATGCCGACTCCGATGATACAGCATCAGCATCGCATCGTATCCACGAGGAGGGCGCTCGGACGGCTTGCGTGTTTTGTTTGATGTGAGTTCTAGAGCTGACAATGACAATTGCAGCCGAGTCGGGTCGAGTCAAGAATAGGTTATATCCACGGCGCTCGATCTGTAACGCTGCAGCTCAGCCTCTAGTTGGACAGCATCATGTCAGCTCTTGGTTGGGTGGCCTCGACCGACATGGAGTTTGATTTGAGCAAGACGAGACAAAAGAAACGGGTTCAGAAAAGAGGCTTGAGGTTTCCGAAAGAGAGGCCGACAGGGGGCGTGAGCGAAAGCACTCCGCAACTTTGCAACTTTGCAAACAGCCCGCCGGCTCGTACTGTAATAAGAAAAAGCGGTACTGCCTGTTCTATAGTGGGCTTTATTGGCTAATATCGATGGATGGGATGCTATGGATTCATGTTTGGCAGGGTCGTCTATGAGACGGATAAAAACAAAGGAGCTGGAGGAAGTCGTCCAAGATGATGATTTACACAAGCATACTCCGTAATTCCGCGGATCATCATAGTGTATGAAAATCCAAGACCTGATCGACCTGCCATCCCCTAGAGGACACGACATCCATGTTCACTTCGCTTGTCGCTGAGGCTGCATACATGATTGTAACTCAATTCTCGTAATCACTCCAGATGGATGTGGTTGTTGAAGGGTTGATCGAGTGCAAGGCAGAGTGACGGGTTCGAAGCCCACCTCATGGCGGAAACTCAATTGTACCTACTATTTAGGTGCTAACCTAGGGAGATAACCTCGGATGATCGCTGAACAGGACTCGCTAAAATCAGCCTCCAACGCATAAATTGTGAGTGGAGCTGACTTGTTGTTATCTCCAGGCTTCAGAGATGCATTGAAACCTTGGCGCCTCTGAATCGAGGGCATTTTTCCGAAGTCAATTGCCCTCCCAACCAGTTGATTGGCTGCTGGGCGGTTGGCGAAACGTGCAATCCAGTCCAATCGTATTAGGATCGGAAGTATCGATGGAGGTGCCTTGGCTAGTGCTACCTACCTGCCTTAGCTCGTTCCCTTTGGTTCCTTGGTTCTCTGGTGGGTGACCTTTTGGTGGCCATTAGGTGTGTTCTGCTAAGGCTGCTACCCTACCTAACCTCCAAGCTCTCCAAGCTCCACTCTCTTCCCGTCACATCATAGCTCCTCTAGCTTACCTAGTTCCTCTCCAACATGGGAAACTTCAGAGTTCGTCTAATCCGGGAGTGACATGGACGCGCAGCTCCTCTTTTCTTGCATGTGTCCCCTCAGCAAGTTACTCTTTTCATCACATCGCATCAGCGCTATTCTCCGCTCTACTCTTTTCGAGACTGTGGTCGCTGGTGCTGTGCTGTGCTGTTTGATGCGAGCGTCTCGTCTCGCCTCGTCCGCTCCCTGTCCAGTTTGGTATGGTTTGGTTATGGTCTCACCCCTCCCATGGATCTCATACCTCACCTTAACAACCAGGATCTCCTTGTCCTTGCCCGGGAGTTCCCCTCATGCAACGCCGACTTTCAAATCAACACCGCCAAAAATGCCATGGATCTTTAAACTCGACTCCACCTCGTCCAACCTCCCCTCTCATTCTCTCACTCTCTCTTGTTCTCTTCTATTCTAATATCACCGAGCTTGTTTCTTATTCTCAATCCTCTTTCTAGATCATAGACTAAGCAATCAACCAGCTTTACGAATATATACTCCTCCATCCTGTATATCGCGAAGCTTGAGCTTCAGCTTCAATTTCATCCTTCCTCGCGGCTGAATAGAAAGACGGGATAATTCGTGTTTGAAGGCATGGAGGCGTTTATGTACCAGTGAACGGTCGTTTCTGCTTGTTGAGGCATCTCACAAGCTCTCTTACGAGCAACCAACCTCCTCTCCTTCCGATATCATCTCACGAGCAAGGAGTTGAACCAGTTTGGCCCAATGGGCAATGAACAATCCGCCGAATCCCCTCGCGGGCATCGGAAACTATCCAAGCCACCTCACTGCAGCCAGGCATCTGCAGCTGGTCTGCCATACACTGCTACTGCTGTGACACCCCATCGTGAGCACTTCTCCAACTCGTATCTGGTCGGATCGCTGCCGCCTGCTCCCAATAAGGCTTCTACAACGAGAAGAGTGGCGCCTGGGCTCGGTATAGCCGTCCCAGCTGGTGACGCTTCCAGTCCTATACAATCACCTACATGTAGAGACCCCATGCGCGATTTGAATTCGCGTACGCGGTCTATCCAGTCAGAGCAGTCTCCTATACTGCCAGCTTTTGTCAACAGCTCCAGGACCAGCTCTATTGCTCAGGATAGCAGCTACCGCACGCTGACGCGCGCTGATAGGTTTGTGCAACATGTCTCCATGTCGATAAATAGAGCTAATTGCCTGGAAATAGCATGCCTGTTGCAGTACGGCGTGGCTCTGCAAGCTACGATACGAGAGCTGTCGAGGCCAAGAAGCTTCTTACTGCAAAGGAGAAGCTCCCAAGCGAACCCGTCATCTCCAAGTCTAATAAGCATTCTGATGAGGCAAGTCAGGATGTGACTGATGATAACAATAACGCCACCCAATCTGCAGGTTCGTCCATTAGCAGAACAAATTCAGACGTCTCTCTTTACATGCCAATGCGCCGCCGCTCGGTCGTTCAAACTCCAGGCATAGCAACCAGGGCTCATCATTCCAACCCGCCAGTCTCAGCCAAGTCGAGTTTCCGCAAGAGTCTCCCAGCTACACCCTCTCAGTCCAGGCACAATTCGATAGAATCTGGCATGGGGAGACGCATGTCAAT